TTATTTAAGGGATGTGAGCGTATTTTAAGTGTTGCTGGAAACGCAGTCGAGAAGGGTGTATGGGACGAGCATTTATTGGGCGAGTTGCACGCAAAACGAGCTGATTCGTTGGCAAAGAATAAATTCGGTTTGTAGCATCGTAATTTTTGAATGAATTCATTTGCAGCTCGAGAAAAGATCTCACTGAAAGCAAAAGATAGGAGAATATTTCAAGGAGTGGATAAATTTGTGGGTTTCGATTATTTCAGCTGATCGAAATGAGGCCATTTTTTCGGGAATATCATTCGATATTGGGGAGAAATAAACTCTTATCGTTGCTTTCGTTTCAGATTCCGCGGGTTTCCTCGTCGATGAAAAACCAAAGTTCGGAGCGACTCTCATCGATCAGTCGGGTTTGAAAAAGGTTTTTATTTGTTAAATGATTGGTCTTCATCTGTTTTATTGTGTTCATTCTATGCTCATTTTATCGAAGTAATCTCTCGCATTAGCTTGGTTATCAGTCTTTTTTTTGAAGACGGCATTGTAGTTCTATATTATCGAAATATTCTGATAGCCATTTGATAGTTATTCACAAGTATGCAAAAGTTTACTAGTATTTTCGATTTTTTGTTCGAAAATTGCTCGAGAAACTTATTTGCACTTTCGTAAGAATCAAAATAAGATGTGCGAAATTCAGTACGGTGTTCAGCAGACAAATTTTGCGTAGAATCGAAGAGATGAAACAATTTTCAGAAGGTGGTTTGGCGTTGGAAGGAATTGACAAACGAATACGAGTATGTCTATAAAGTGGTCGGATTGAGCGATATGATCGAACGACGCTCGTCGAATGCGGAGATGAGTGTGGCTGAGATGGATGTCTACTGTACGTTGTGTACGGCGATCATTTCGTATTCTCAGGAAGCGGTTGACGAACACATTCGCTCGTTGACGCACATCATCAATTATGCGGTTAGTGTTTGAATTGTTTTTTTGAAGAGTTGGGTTGTGATCAGATTTTGAAATACGCATATAACAAATATGTGGTGATGGATTTAGGATATGTGGATATGAAGTGATGCGAATCGATCCAACAACTTATTACAAATAATATTTCATTATTATTGTTTTTGTTCTTAGTATTATCATTATTATGCCTGATTTTTATTGTGAAAATTATTTTTTCATTGTTACAATTATTATTA